AATAGCCATTTGGTGGCAGACCAGTTAAGTTGGATCCCGTCCACATTGGGTGGGTGGCGGGGCAGCAATTTGTCCTAAGTGAGTGAAATATAGTCTGTATATGTGTTTGCTTTTCTTCTCACAGTGCCACTGTTGTAACCTACATTGGAGGGTTTACAGAATGCCTGATCCAATGGTATAGTGCCACATATAATAACGCTCCTACCAAGGGACATTTGCTGCTATATCAAAGAAAGTGTGACAATGAGTTTATAATCACTACATATTTCATCACCCCAAAGCCACATATCTTATAGAACAGTAGAATAATATTAACCATGAAAAGCTCAGCTAAGGCACCAACATGGGAAACTTTCCTCTAGAATAAAGGATGTGTGCTAACAGCAGATATAGGATGTTGTGCTCACCATAGCTAGAACTCACAGTTCTGAGAGTAAGGGTGGGTTTTCTTATAATCAATCACTTAGACCCCCTTATGGTATTTGCCCTTTTTTCTCCTACAACTTTAGACTTTGCCAGTCAGAATCCTAGTTCTTATGGTGGAGGCAGGGTGGAGGTGGGACTGTTCTGTGAGGGGACTTAACAAGAGTTCTCCTTAAATGGAAGCTGTGATTGGTTCCACATATGATCTGGTTACTATGTGTTCCACATGACAGTGGACCAGCAAAGATATTACTATACTCATCACCATGAAGAGGTAGGGCTGCTGCTACAAAATTTGAGCAATGAGAAATATGTCTGGAATTCAGAGGTGTTCCATGCCCATATGTGAATGGGAAGTTACAGCAACCAAGACTTTATAAGAGCAAGAAAACTAGGGGCTAAATTCTTTAGGATTTAGGTCTGCAACACCCCACTGGGCAGCAACTCAGACCAGCTAAAGTGCCCACAGAGCAGGGAAAAATCTGGAATGAGTGACACAGAAGATTGGTGATGAATATTAATTAAGGCCTGAGGGATTAGCTGGAGCACTGGATATTGTAGTTTGATCTGCTCTCTCTTTAAGTCTTTGGGGAATTGCAACTGGCCACCACTTAGAAGGATTGTATTTGAACTTCCTTCTTGGAGAAGATAAAAGGGATCTGGTCTAAATGCTACCAGGATATCAAAAAATGGTGGAAGTGCATCTGAGTTGTACGAGAGGTTGCCTGTCCTGGACCCAGTTTACATTTCTTTCTATATTGGCTCAATCCTAACATGTCTTCAAGTTTTTGACCACTTGCTGGTGAGCCCCAGATATTACTACCATTGTCATCTTATCTCTTAACACTACTAGCTGTGACAGCATCCCTTAAGGTGAAAACCAGGGTTTAGTATGCCCCCAATGGCACCTACCATGGAAGGGTCCACAGTAGTTCTGGCACCCATGTATTACCAGATCAGACCCAGAGAAGTTCTGTCTCCACTGGGATATTGCTTTCCCAGTGGCTACCTAGAAGGGACAGATTACACAACCTGAAATGCAAAGGAGTTAATGTACCATAGGACAAATCTTTACCAATGAAAGGTAGAATATAGTAAAGAACAGGCATATAAATGTTCTTTCTCCATCTAACAAACTGTGCCAAGGTGCGAAGTTTACATATGACTTCTTTGGAGTTGTTCCACATGAGCAAGTAATCAGCTATGTTTTCTTGTGAAGTTCTGCCCAACTCGATAATGATCCGCCTTGTGTCTGCTTGCTTCTTTTCCCTGCATCACTTCTCTTTTTACCTCTTTCTTGTTAACCTGGGATTGCTTGACCTATGGATCTGCTTTCTAGAGAAACTGGATTGAAATGTAAAGCAAGGTTTTTAAACTCAGAAGTTTTTGTTCGCTGAATGACAAGTTAAAAATAAAATAGTCCAGCCTTCCTGATTGAAAAAGTTCACTAATTTTGGTGCACCCAATTATCTCCTTATCTATTTTACTGTATTCATATAATTAATTTCTTTCATTTTTTAAACTTATAGTGACTTTTTTTTCTCTGCCCCATTTCATTTTATTTCATTTGTGTTACTCTACTATGGTTTATTACAACTTTATCCTGTAGTTCCCCTATATTCAAACTTTTCTCAGTACTAAGAAATGTGATGTTGATTGGTTTTTCCTTCAGAATGTGTTAAATTTTCAGTGCTATATCTTAGAAGAAACAGGTTCATCTCTGTATTCCTCTATATAAGTTGTCATATTACAGGAGTACAATACATTTTAAACAACAGTTTATGGATTCTTCACAACTTATCTCAAGTCACTCCCCACAGAGCACTAAACTTTTCTTTTCTGATGATATATTGCCAAACTTCTCTTAGGCAAGGAGCTGTATACCACCCAGTATCCCACAACGTAGTCAGGGGCTTCAGTATCACCTTTCCTCCTTTTCCTCACCTATCTAGTAAGAATAGGCAACATAAATTGTAAACCCATGGTGTGTCTATTAGTATTAAAGAGAAATACTCAGCTAATATTTCCATGATAAGTATATTGGAAGCACAGCCTGAAACCTTACATACTAAGTTGACATATCATATTCACTATTTATCTAAGATTTGACCTAATTAGCCAGGTCCTTCTAGACTTGGATATCTTTTTTTTTTTTCCTTTTTGTCTTTTTTACTGACCGGCAATGGGATCGCAACCCTCAGTGTTGTGCCCGCTCCGCGCTCAGCCAGTGAGCAGGAACTGGTCTCCACATGGGATCCGAACCCTCAGCGGGAGCGCCACCGCGCTCCCAAGTGGCGCACTCTCCAGTGCGCAACCGGGCCGGCCCTAGACTTGGATATCTTAAGCTTTTGTAATTATTCGTTTGCTTTGGTTGTTGTTGTTTTGTCCTGCATTTGAATATTTTGCATTTGAGTGCAAAATAGAACTCAACCCCTAATTCTTCAGCCTTCCCTTCCCTCTACTACCCCTTTAGTCATTCTTAAGCTTTTGTAATTATTCGTTTGCTTTTGTTGTTGTTGTTTTGTCCTGCATTTGAATATTTTGCATTTGAGTCCAAAATAGAACTCAACCCCTAATTCTTCAGCCTTCCCTTCCCTCTACTACCCCTTTAGTCATAAACTTCCTTTACTCTTATTGTCTACTGATTAATTACTTTTTCTCCCATGAATGTTATGTCATGAAAGCTAATATTTGGAAAAGTCGAGAATGAGATTAATGTTCACAAAAATTGTGAAGACCCCAGATGAAAGCTTCAGCAATACTTATGTCATGAAAGCTAATCTTTGGAAAAGTTGAGAATGAGATTAATGTTCACAAAAATTGTGAAGACCCCAGATGAAAGCTTCAGCAATACTTTATTGCATCCCCATTGAAACAAGACAAAGGCAGCTACAAACATTTGAAAGCAAGTCACATTTTTGCACACCATCCATTATTCTTGCATTTAACATAATGTTGTAAAGATTCTACATCTTCTGAATTTATTAGCTTGGTATTTCGCATGTTTCACGGCCAAAATAGCAAAGAAGGTTCATTATTGCCAGTTAAATTAGCCTCATGAAAATGTTGTTGGTAAAAGGTTACAGAAATGAATAAGAGATCTCAGCATGTTTCACGGCCAAAATAGCAAAGAAGGTTCATTATTGCCGGTTAAATTAGCCTCATGAAAATGTTGTTGGTAAAAGGTTACAGAAATGAATAAGAGATCTCACCAAGCAGCATATTGGACCATTTATCACTCTCATTTAAAAATGGCATTCTGATGATTTAAATTAACTTGGCTAAAGGGCAGAGATTTAGATAAAAGTGAATAATTAAAACCTTAATGTTATGATTAGCTCTTACTTTTGATGAAGAGGGGACAAAACATACGCATACAGTATTTACTTAAATTGTCTTCTCGGGAGAAACTGAGACCAATAAAACCATGCCTGAAAATAACATTTATTTATTATTTGGGCTTTTAAAAAAATTATAGCTGTATTATATAGAAACTGGATTACCTGAGTATTGCATCTTTACTTCAGACATAGATAGCCCTTCTTAGTTTCTTTGATTTCGGATAGTTGAAGCCTAGAACTTAGCCATCTTTATATTGAGGCGTTAGTACAGGCATTTGTTTCTTAACTGAATATCCTCACCATATATTAAGGATAGTAAATCTGCCATCTGTGTGAAAATTTTATCAGGGAATTTAACTTATTTCTTCCCCCTTTGACATGTTTTTTGTTAGTATGGTCTGAACTACTTATGTTTTTCCTTTGTGTTAAAATTATTATTATTATTATTATTTATTTTAAGCTAAGAAGCTCTAGAACTTCCCTGAGAAGGATGGTGAGACAATTTGTTATTAGCTTGACAACCCTGAATAAGAGTTCTGTGTCTATGGATTTAAGATAAATATAAAGTTTCTCCTCTTTTCCATTCTTAACAGAAACCAGGAGCTAAAAGAACTTGGTGAACTTTCAGTATGATTAGCTCTTACTTTTGATGAAGAGGGGACAAAACATATGCATACAGTATTTACTTAAATTGTCTTCTCGGGAGAAACTGAGGCCAATAAAACCATGCCTGAAAATAACATTTATTTATTATTTGGGCTTTTAAAAAAATTATAGCTGTATTATATAGAAACTGGATTACCTGAGTATTGCATCTTTACTTCAGACATAGATAGCCCTTCTTAGTTTCTTTGATTTTGGATAGTTGAAGCCTAGAACTTAGCCATCTTTATATTGAGGCGTTAGTACAGGCATTTGTTTCTTAACTGAATATCCCCACCATATATTAAGGATAGTAAATCTGCCATCTGTGTGAAAATTTTATCAGGGAATTTAACTTATTTCTTCCCCCTTTGACATGTTTTTTGTTAGTATGGTCTGAACTACTTATGTTTTTCCTTTGTGTTAAAATTATTATTATTATTATTATTTTTTATTTTAAGCTAAGAAGCTCTAGAACTTCCCTGAGAAGGATGGTGAGACAATTTGTTATTAGCTTGACAACCCTGAATAACAGTTCTGTGTCTATGGATTTAAGATAAATATGAAGTTTCTCCTCTTTTCCATTCTTAACAGAAACCAGGAGCTAAAAGAACTTGGTGAACTTTCTCCACACTGGGACAATCTACGAAAAAATGTCCTTACTCACTGTGATCAAATGGTGAATTTGTACCAAGACATTCTGACAGAGCTTAGCAAGGAAACAGGTGTGAAAGCAACAACTTTACTTACTCAAACTGAATTCCATTACATGTATGTTATGTCAAAACAATAATAAATATGGTCACTATGGAGTTAAATGAGCCAAAGATTAAAAAAAAATATTTCTAACTCTAACATCTGAAATAAGGAAAAAAAAAAATCTCACGGTATTATAATAGGAATAATTAAGATAACTTTTTCAAAGATTGAATTTCTGAGAAGAATATCAACTCATAAATACAGCATATGTTTTTCTTTCTCAAGTTCTTTTAACGTTTTTCTGTCAAGTAGATCTTTCAACACACACACACACAGATCACTTATTTATTTATTTACTAATAATGTTCAATTTTTTCCCACCTAGGGTCCTCTTTCAAATCAAGCAGCAGCAAAGGAGAGAAAATATTAGAATTTGTCCCAGTAAATCTACATCTGCAAAGAATGCATGTATACAGCCCTCACTTGAAAGGTATCATCATATATTATTTTTTCAAAAACAGTAAATCGGGTTACAGTGTGTACTTCTCTAAAAAGCTGAACTATTGGCAGAATGGAAAAGTTTTAAAAAATTGTATAAAAAAATCAAGATGAAAAACTGAAGCTGGTAATTAATGCTAAATACTGCAAAAGAGACTATGATATTTTTGTTGCTGTATTTCTGGGTAATACTTTGTGAACGTGGCACCTGATTGATTTAGAGATGAATACACAAAATCGGTATAAGCTTCCTTAAGTAATATTATATTAATGATGGCTAACAAATAACAATTGTTCTATAGTTTGAATTAGAAAAATATAAAGAAAAAACAATACTTGTTCCTTTTTTACCTTTCTTGAGAAACCAAAGCCCCAAACGTGAATTGATACGCTGTTTCTCTGACTTAGTGGTGACTATTAATAGCAGCATTCTCTCCCCTGTGGGAATAAGTGGATGTAGTAGAGTTTATTAGGTAGAAGGTGGTAGAGTATTTTGATACACCCAGTTGTAAGTAACATTTGTCAAGAAGAAACACAGGTTTTCACAAACATACCTGGACAGGGTCCAGAGTGACTTATATAGTGTCATATTTATTACCATTCTATATAATCCCTTTCCATTTTTTAATAAAATATGTTTTTACCTACCTCTCTCATCTCTCTTTTTCTTTAAGTTATTGCCGTATCAATTTTCTATACATATCTAGGGTGACTATATGCCTTGGTTTTCCAGCAGAAGTCCCAAATTATGCCTGTTGTCTCAGCATCATTGCTACTGATGCCCCCCCCCCTCCTGTTTTTTCTCAAAATCCTCCCTGTTTGAATGACAAATGCTGTGGCCATCCTACTAGGGGACCAAACACTAATTTAGATCATATTGAAATTTTTGTCATAAGTGCATTAACACATACAAACATACATATACAGAAACATATGAGGATTCATTCTGTCACCCTGTTTTGTAGCCATTGTTATGATACAGTAGTTATAAGTTTAGAAAAGTCAAAAAGAGAGAACCCTTGTATGCTGTTGGTGGAAATGTAAATTGGTACAGGTACATGGAAAAAAGTCGAAGGTTTCTCAAAAAAATTAAAAGTAGAAATACCATATGACCCCGTAATCTCACTTCTGGGTATTTATCCGAAATAATTAAAATGAGAATCTTGAAGAGAGATTTGAACTCCCATGTTTATTGCAGCATTATTCACAATAATTAAGACATAGGAGCGACCTAAATGTCCATTGGTGGACACATGGATAAAAATATTGTGCTGTGTATAAGGAATGGAATATTATTTAGCCTTTTAAAGAAGGAGATCTCCCAGTTGAGACCACATGGATGAACCTGGAGGACATTATAATAAGTAATATAAGCCAGACACAGAAGGGCAAATAGTACGTGATACTACTTGTATGAGGAATCTAAAATAGTCAAAGTCGTAGAAGCAGAGAGTGGAATGGTGGCTGCTAGAGGAAGAAAAAAGGAAGCATTAGTCAATGAGTACAAGATTTTAGTTACGCAAGATGAATAAGTCCTAAAGATCTACTATAGAGTATAATGCCTATAGTTAACAATATTGTATTGAATACTTAAAAATTTGCTAGAAGGATATATTTTATGAGTTTTTATCACACACAAAGAATAAAAAAAATAATAGTAATAATAAAGAGGGCGGGTGAAAGGAAACTTTTAGAGGTGATGAATAGGTTTATGGCATAGATGGTAGTGATGGTTTCAAGAGTGTGTATATTTCCAAACTCATCAAGTGGTACATATATATACAGCTTTTTGCATGTCAATTACACCTCGGTAAAGTGATTTTAAAACAAGTTAAAATGGAATCTTTGTTCTGCTTTAGAATTGTCTGAAGTTTTATAATCAAAAAAATTAAACTTTTTTGTGTTCATACCAATCATATATACACAACCAGCTGATGTGTGAGTTTAAGTGAGAATTATTCTAATGTATGATTTTATTATATTTGGTAAGCCTTATTAAATATTTTAAATTTTAATTTAGGTTCCATTTACCACAAATTATGTCAAATGAAAGAAAAATGAGATGGATTGACCAAGGCATGCAGGAGCTGCTGTGGTCTTAATGTGTCCCCCAAAATTTATGTGTTGGAAACTTAATCCCCAATGCAGCAGTGTTGGAGGTGGGGCCAGTGGCAGATGTTTAGGTCATGAGGACTGTGTCTTCTGAATGGATTAATGCTGTTATAAATTTATAGATAGGGCTTACGATGTTGAGTATCGTTTACCACAAATTATGTCAAATGAAAGAAAAATGAGATGAATTGACCAAGGCATGCAGGAGCTGCTGTGGTCTTAATGTGTCCCCCAAAATTTATGTGTTGGAAACTTAATCCCCAATGCATCAGTGTTGGAGGTGGGGCCAGTGGCAGATGTTTAGGTCATGAGGACTATGTCTTCTGAATGGATTAATGCTGTTATAAATTTATAGATAGGGCTTACGATGTTGAGTATCTTTTCATATACCTGCTGGCCATTTTAATGTCTTATTTTAAGAAATGTCTACTCAGATCATTTGCCCATTTTTTAATAAGATTTGTTTTTCTTTTTTGCTGTTGAGTTGTTTAAGTTCCTTGCATATTCTGGATATTAATCTCTTGTTGAATGAATAGTTTGCAAATATTTTCTTTCATTCTTCAGGCTGCTTCTTCACTTGATTGTTTCCTTTGATGTGCAGAAGATTTTTAGTTTGATATAGTCCCATTTGTCTATTTTTGCTTTTGTTACTTGTGCTTTAGAAGTCTTCTCTAAAATTTTTGCCCAGCACAATGTTTTGGAGTGTTTCTCCTATGTTTTCTTCTGTGAGTTTTATAGTTTCAGGTCTTAAATTTTGGTCTGTAATCCATTTTGAGTTGATTGTGGTATGTGGTAAGAGTAGGGGTCTTTTTTCATTTTTCTACATATGGATAGTCAGTTTTCCCAACACCATTTATTGAAGAGATTGTCCTTTCCCTACTGTATATTTTTGGTGCCTTTGACAAAAGTTAGTTCAATAGATGAATGAATAAGAATTTTTTAAAAATGTGATATATACACAATGGAATACTACCAAGCCATAAAAAAGAATAAAATCCTGTCATTTGTGGCAACGTGGATGAATCTGGAAGATAGTATGTTAAGTGAAATAAGTCAGGCACAGAGAGAGAAATATCATAGGTTCTCACTTACATGTGGGAGCTAAAAAAGCAAAAACTTGAGCTTATACAAGTAGAGACTAGGATTGTGGTTACTAGAGGCTTGGGAGGGTGGGAGAGGGGAGGATAGGGAGAGATTGGTTAACAGATATAAAATTAGAGCTACATAGGAAAAATAAGTTTTAGTGGCCTACATTAGTGCTAAGTGTTTATAAGTAACAATAATTTATTATATGTTTTCAATTGGCTAAAAGAGGAGCTCAAATTCTCTCATCGCAAAGTAATAATACATTTTTGCATAATGATGTATATGCTAATTACCCTGATTTGATCATTACACATTGTATATATGTATTGAAATATAACTCTGTACTGCATAAAATTTTTTAATTTAATTTTTAAGAAAAGGTGTGTGGCAGTGGTTTTATCCTTTTCACTCTTCTGTTGTGTGGGGACACACATTCATCCTCCCTTGCCCTTCTGCCTTCTGCCATGTGAGGAAGCAGTAAGAGGCCTTCATCAGATATCAGGGCCTCCATCCTGGACCCCCAAGCCTCCAGAAATACAAGAGAATAAATTTCTGTTCTTTATACGTGAAGGTCTGTGGTATTCTGTTATAGCAGCACACACAGGCTAAGAGGGTGAGTTCCTCCTTGATTACTGACAGTATGTCAATAGTTTGAACTTAACAATATGTAATGGTTTTAAAATACTTAGAGCTATCTGACAGCCAACATTTTTTTTTCTAATAGCCAGTATGAAAGGACTTTTATGATATAGTAAAACATTTACATATTTTGGATTGTAACAGACTTGGGTTTGAATTGTAGGTCCTACCACTTTTTATATATGGCCAGAGACTGTTATCTAAGCTTTCTAAGCAAGTTTGTTTTTATTTCTGATTACGTTAGAGTATGTAAAACACCTAGAATTATGTAATATAGTAGTTTTATTATACATGTGGCATTTGTCATTACTGGAACAAAATGGATCAGAACTATAAAAACTGGAGAAATGTGATCAGCTAAGAACCTATTAAGAGACAATGAAGTCTTGAACTAAGGAAATAGCGAGGTTTAGAGTAAAGATGATTTAGAAAGACATTTTAGGGAAATCATCACATGCAAGTATTTAATGACTGATGGAATAAGACAATAAGGGGAAAAGATAATTTTTGTTATTGCCATGTGTGGATGGCAATGTCATACCAGATGAATGGGGCAAAATTGACATGAATTCATCTTTAATTAAGCATCCAAATATTTGGTGATGCACCTTAAAATTCTTCCACCAAACAAAAGAAATTATTATCTAAGTGGCCTTTTACTTTGAACTTCTTTCTGGGAAATTAAAGAACCATCTATGTTAGGCTTTTTTCCAAGGTACTATCTGAAAAATAGACTAGAGTAAGGTAGGATGAAGAAAATATATTTAGTTTATGATTCTCTGATTTGAAAGGAAGAAACTGCAAGCAAAAGAAAGAAATTTTAAAAAGTGAACAAAAGTTTCTTCTAATTAGTTTGGGGATATGTATCAGTTTCCCATGGCACCCTAAAAAGGCACCACACACTGGGTCAGCTAAAAAAAAACAAAATTTATTGCCTCACCGTTCTGGAGGCTGGACATCCAGAATCAAAGTGTCGGCAGGACTGTGCTCCCTCCGAAACCTACAGGGAATCTTCCCGGGCCTCTTTCTGCTTTCTGGTGGTTTGCATCATGCCAGTCCTCCAGCTTCACATGGCGTTGTCCCGTGTGTCTTCAGTCCTCTTCCCTTTGTGCATGTCTGTCTCTATGTCCAATTTTCCTCTATAAGGACACCACT